TCCCACTTTCCTGCTGTGGAAAGTGGGATCTTTCCAGCCCCTGGTCATTGTATCTCTCCCTGCTGTTCCATTACCAGGAATGACCAGTTGTGGGCCTGCAAGTTTGGGTCACATATTCGTGTGGAGACTTCTAAACTAGCACTAGTGTAAATTTAGTCTCTGAGGCTTAATCAGAAGCAGTATTTGTCAATAGATGGTTGCTGAATCAACACTGCTGTTCCCAATTACCCATCACAGCAAGTTCTAACAGCTGACTGATTGTGAAACTTCTCATTCTTTCCCTGACCACTCCCGTATCTGCTCTTCTCCTTTTCAGGTTTTCCCCCTCCTGCTCCTCTCACCCATGACCTTCCTCATTTCCCCTCTCCTTCCCTCCATCCACTCCTTTTCCATTTTTTCCTCTCCCTCCTCATATCGCTTCCATTCCTTCATCTCCCCGTTCCTGCTGCTCTCCCTTTCTTCCATTACATTTTTCCTTCATATGTCCCCATGTATTTTTCATTTTTTCATCTTCCTACAGCTTCCTATCGCCCTCCCCTCATTGTCACATGGAATAAGTAGCGGTGTTATGAAGATGGGGGTGCTATTAGCAGGATCGTATTTATCTATTCTGCATCATTCCTCTGTCTTGTCCTCATGGTTTCTTCTTACTAGTTGCCTTACTGGTGATGTATTAAATATATAAAATTTTATTCTTTTTTGTTCCTTTTCTTTAGAAATCTAGGGAAAGGAAGACAGGCAATAGGAATCTGCTTATTTGTCCTTTTCTCATCCCATGAAGCAAAGGTGGTTCAACTGTGGGCTTTTTCTGTGCATAAGAAGGAGTAGAGGCCCTGCCTTGAAAATCTTGGCTTTTTTTTACCTTCAGGTTTTCTTCCAGACCCTTTTTTAAGTAAATGGAAAGGAGTGATTTTCTTGTATCACCGGCACTCTTTTCTTTCCCTCCTCCTCCCTGCCCAGTCATGTCCCTAATTAATTGAATTCCCTATTAGACCTTTTGTGAGTCATTTCAATTACCCATTAGTGAAGCAGCCTGGGATTTCTGCTGTGTTTTCACTCATCTTCCTGGAATTTCTCTTCTCCTCCCTCCCCCTCCTTCCCCTTTTAGTCACTCTGATCTGTGAAAAGTATTAGATGGACTTCAGTGCCGAGTGCCTATATTGTTTGCAGGCCCAGCTGCATACTTCTACACTCTGCCTTGTGCGTCACAGCTATTCATCTTGTTTTGTACTTGGCTCTGCTGCAGATGCTGTAAATATGGTAATTTTAGATTCCCTGATTGCAAAGGGTTGCAGGGCGGGTCTAAGTGGTAAGAACACTGTTTGATTTACACTAGTTCATTCTGGTTTCTTAGAGTTTGGAGTTTTAACGATACAACCAAACTGAAACATGGTTGTAAAGGCAGGGTTTTTTTTAGCGCTAGGAGAAGGATACATATGAGGTTAGCTTTGTGTATCAACATACAAAAGCACTGCCCCAGAAACTCTAGGGAGACTGGAAAGAAAGCAGGAGATAACTTTTCAGGTTATTACGTAGAATGCCTTCACACACAGATAGCTGCAAAACATGGATGGATCTGTAAACTGCAAAAATGGAAAAGATCCAGGACAGAAAACTGTGAAGGGCAGATCTGTAAGTTGACAGAAATGCCATCAATACTGAAGTACTGTAGACTTATGGCAATCCCTGAAGAACAGCTTATTTCTAGAAAATTTTTGAAATACTGGGTAGGACTGTAACAGGTAACACGTGTTATATTTCTGAAGAGAAGAAGGCAGTGATAAAGCTAGCTTGCTAAACTTATGATGGATACAGTGACTACCTGAAATCCAATATATGGAGAATCACATTTCTATTCTGAAATTGAATTTGTACAGCACATGAATCTTTCAGGCTTGGGGTAATTCTCAAGTGATACAGAGAGGCAAACCGTATCGCTGGGAACCAACCTGTTGGAAATGTGCCTCACACATCCCAAGTTACAAAAGTAGTTTACAATGCTCAAGCTATTATGATACTTTCATAATATTATGATGCTTGTCCCTGTGAGGTTAGAGTATTTCAAGACAGAAGAAACTTTTGATAATCAGGCTGTTGTGAGAAGGCTCTCTCTCACAGCTTCCCAGGGGGACCTCATTTGTTGAACTGACGGGAAGCGAATTTACGAGGGTTCAGTATTCATAGGTACTTTTTTTTCCTCCTAGCTCTTTATCCAGTCAAAGGAGAAAGGAAGGGAATGTTGTGAAAATACCACTCGGTACAGACACATTAAGATGTTAGTAGGAGACCAACTGGGAATTATTTTAACTTTAATATCTTGAAATCTTGGTCCCCTGGTAGGCAGCAGTGGATTTCAGAGCTTCATTAGATGACTCTGGAGTTTTGCTGCTTCACAAGGTGACATTACTTGAGTTGAAACTGTAAAAGAGAGAAAGGAGCTAGTGAAGAGTTGTATATGTGAGCCCCTTCTTTCTTTATGGGACATGCAGCAGCAGGGCCCATATCACTTTATCTGAAGTTACCAGGTCATGGCAACACCTTTCTTTAGCTGTCTGTGGTATTGCTCTATTTTCTTGCACACATTCCATTGCTAGTATCATGTTACAAGGTTTTGTCATTTGGCAGGTCTTACACCTTTTCCTTTCTTACATATCCTCTTAGATTAAGTATTCTGCTGCAGAGTTAGCATGGTGAGGACTGCTACCCAACTTCTGGGCTGAGCAGCAGCAGCATCTGAAATGGAGCTTTGGACGTGCTGTCATTTTGCCTGATAAGCTGCCCAGTGTGTGCCAGAGGATACCAGCTGTGCCAGGGATATTGACTGAATTCCCTATGCTCTAGGCAGCTTTCTGCACCTTTTTGTAGTAACTCTTTTCTTTTCCCAAGAGAAAACAGCGGGACAGAAGACTTCTGCTGCACTAGTCCAAGAAAAGAAGCCATTTGTCCCAGCACAGAGCTGGATCCTTTATCACTGACAGGATAGCACATATACTGTAGGAGAAAACTCTGTTAGCCCTTCCATGCCAAAGAGTATCTGATGTTCATTTTTCTTACATGGGACCTTAATTCTCCTCCTATAATGTTATTAGATTTCTTTATATGGCTTTTGCTGCTGCGTGACACTGCTTGGCTTCTACAAAGTACTGCTGTGTTTTACTCCAAAGCTGTTTGCGTCTTAGTAGCAGACAAAAACCTGACAGCCAAACTTAAATGGTGTAGCTAGTTCAGTTGGTTAGTAAAGGAGCTGCAAAAAACTGAAGTTTATTGCATTCCTAACCTCTCTTGCATTTTTCACAGGTAGGTCTGTGTATATAAAGAAATCCACAACTTCTGGAAAATACAGTCCCATGTATGTAAAACACAAGTTCAAAAATACTTTGCAAAGCTGGACTCAACACTGTGTAATGCAGAGAATTCTTGAATCTTTCAGACCTGCCTAGACCTTTCAGGAACTTCTCAATACTTTGTTTTGTTCCCAAATTAACTTTGCTCAAGCACTACCTCAGCCCCACTGGTAGCTCTTCCCATCTCCAAGTTGCTTAGTACACATGGCAGCTTTCAGGGGTTCAGGCTTCATTCACATGCCACTTGGAAGTGCCCTGGCATGTAAGTTCACAGGGTGAACCCATTGCCAACTCTTGTCCTTCCCCTAGCTGTTGCTGCATTGCCATTTGATGCATGAGCACGACGTTGAAAAGTGCGTCTTACCCAGTGTTCTTAACTGGGTTAGTGTTTGGGTGTGGGTTAGTCTTTGAGCCGTGTTAATCCAGTTTCCTAGATCCCAATTCTGTTCTAATTCTTCTCTAGAACAAATGTCTAATCTACTTCAGTGCATCTGTTGGGTTGCAAATAGCAGGTTAAATCAAATATATGAAACACAGTCATTTAACTGGGCATGCAGTGTACAGGGTGAAAGTGGGGAGAAATCTCCCTCTCATTGATTCTCTTCCTCAAAAAGAACTTGTAAACAGATTTGTTTCTTTTTAAAAATAAATTATTAATCATGCTACCTTTTTTTTTAATCTAAGCAGCTGCATGGCAAAGTATGGCCTAGTCATCCATTTCTCCATTGGGTTTGTATTTGATTTTGCAAGCAATCAGTGCTTGGAGAGAGTCAGTTTGCATTCCACTCTCTCTCTCCATTATGTTGTGTGCTTAGAGGGGTTTATGTGGGCTATCACACTTGGCTCCCATGAGATCCCACATCTGGTAAAGGATAGAGTGTATGACCCCACTCCCAGCTCTTCCTTACTTCCAGCCTCCCCCCATTATCTGAGAAAGTTAGACTAAAAGCAACATGTATGATGGCAAAGGTCCAAGTTTGAAATGTGTCCATTGTATGTGTTCAGTTCAAAAAAAACATATCAAGGCAAGTGCAGTCCTTACAAGTAGCACCCCTGGGCCTTCTTTTATTCCAAAGCAGAGATATTTACCAAAGGAAAAGAGGGAAGTGATGGGGTAACAGAGTACACATGTTGTGAAAATATGCAGGCAGAGACTGAAGAAAAAATAACATTCTGCCACAAGTAGCTGCCTTGTTCCCCAACTTTTTTTTTCCTTCAGATTAGAACCAGTCATTTCTTGTGCTCTTTCAAGCACCTTCTGTGGTTTCCTGACAGCTGGCTGGAGAGGATTGAAATCTGGCTTAAAAATGGGCCATGGTCATGTTATTTTTGAGAGAGGAGAAACAAAAAATCCCATAATGGTTGAAATTCACAGGTTTGAGTTTTGGTGGGTTGTTTGTTTTGTTTTTTTTTTTTTTTTAGAAAATCAGTGTTGGATATTTTAATATATAACTTTAGAACTTTAGTTAAAAGTTATTAATAAAAACCAACTACAGAATCAGCTCTTCATTTCTCTCTCCTCTGTTTGATTTATAATGGCAAGCAGTATTTTGTGTGGAGTAGCCTGCCCTTTTTCTCTGGAGTGAAAATGTTCAGCTTCATGAAAGGGTATGCTGGGGGTTTCTGAAAGTATTTTTTTGTTTGTTTGTTTTTAAGGATACGATAACACTTCTCTTGCAAAAACTGTTTCATTAACAGAAAGATAAGTCTGAGCAACAGCCTGCAGGCTGGTATTCTTGATCCCAGCTGTCCTGGCCTGAACTGAAAATACCAATACATTCCTAGCTTTACATTCAAGCAGATGGCTTCTGTTAGGAGTTATAAACCTTTCTGGTCTTTTGTTCTTTTGCGAACAAGTTCTCCTTTTAAAATATTTTAAAAAGAGAATACTGAGTTCACAGAACTGGTAACTTATTTGACCTGAATTTTAGGGCTCAAGGCTTCCTCTAGGGATCAGGGTTCGCTACCCCTGCAGACAAAGGGCACAGCCCAGAAAGGTAGTCCTGTCAACTAGGTTTAAGGAAAGAAAAGAAAGAAAGCAGAAGCAGAGCGAAAGGTACAAGAGAAAAATGTCAGCAGGAGGCAGCAAGTAGAGAAAGTCAACTATCATGCCCTGCTGTATGGGGAGAGTGAAGAAAAAAGTCCTGCTATAGTAGAGCATGAGGAAGATGGAAGTGTTGACTGACTCTTGACTTTTGAACAGATGGACGAACAAACAACCCCAGGCAGTTATAGAGCACGACTGAGACATTTATAACATCACAGGGAGTGGAGGGACTGAATGAGTAGAGAACTGGAACCATGTCACCTGACCAGGGCATACTCTGCATCAGCAACTCTGCATCCTCCAGGATGTCTTTCAGAGCATCTTTCTTCTCTTAAATTTAATAGTGTGTTACAGTCTGTTCTGCAGAAGAACTAGAATGGGGTCAAAGGAGAGTTTTGTCAGTGTTGTCCAGTCCATCCATAACACTTCTAGAGACTCATTTAAGAGCAATTTTAATAAGGGTGTTTTTTGTATTGTGAACAGACATGCTCTAAGAACTGGAATGGAAGCCCATTACATACAGTTCATTCACTGAAAAAAGGGATTTTTGATGGGTAACAGAGATAAAAATAGTCATCAATTCTTACTCACAGCTAACTCCTTAAGAGTGTGAATAAGCAGCACAGTCTAATGGGTAGAAGGTGTTTGTGGAAATGAGGAGCCCCTTTTTAATGTTTGCTCAGCTCTGGATTTGTTGAATGACAATGGATAACGTCGGTGAACATTTTCACAAAGTAGTTAGTAACGTTGAACTACTTTGTGAAAATGTGTGGGATAATTAGTTATGAATGTTTTGAAGATATTGATTTCCATATTTCTGGTAATTGATTGTGACAATGCATCATACTGTGTGGTTTAAAAGACATCTGTTAAATTAATTAAACAGATGAATGTGTCCCTTCATATCCCTCATGTCCATGCTACAAATGATAAAAGCCCACCAATAAGAAATTAAACTGAGTCAAATTTTCTTATCACGTCACTGAGTTGCACTGATTTCTTTGAAGCTATGCCCATCACTAATGATTTGGCTTACTAGGTCCAATGTCTTTATGAACAAAATTTATAAGTACGACATTGTTAATTGAGAGGGTCTGCTGTCATAACCTATGTCTTTTTTCATAGATTTCTGCACAAAAATCATTTTGAAAGATTATATTTTATAGTCTTCAGTTGTAGAATGAGCCCTTTCAGTGGTGTTCACGCTCCCACATTCACACCAGAAAGTTGACTTGGCTTCTAGAAGTAGTATTGAGTGCCAAACCAGATTATTCCTACTGTGTAACTAGTCTTCACCTGTTTGTTTGGGGGTTTTTTTGTACGAAGCATTAATGAAAGAATACTTCTTGGAATAATTTAGTGGCTAGAGGAAGGTAGTGCTATTCATGGCTTTGCTAGGCAGTAGCATAGATACACTCTATGATTATTAAAAACCAGGGCAAACCACTTTAACTATCTGTGAAGAACCTTCCCTGTCAGAAAAATGGATGTAAGAATATTACCACTTGTGCTGGTTTCCACTTTTCAGGTTTTGTTACTCGTAAGCTGTAATGCTTAATGCTCCAAATCACTAGCTATTCTTATTGCAGCATAATTTTTTAAAAAAGTCTGTCTTTTTTTTTCTGGTTTTGGTATGATTGACTGTCATACCAATAACACTGTTTTTCATATGACATACTGTACTCACTATTGTTTGAAATCGCTATTAGAACATTTGACAATAACATTTTCTTTCTGAACTTGTATTTTTTCCAGCACTGTTTTTTTTTCTTTTCTTTTCCTGTTTATCTAAAGTGGCTGAAGGAAAAGGACACATTGCGTCAAGGCTGATAGGACAAGAATTAGACCTACTGTATGCACTGATTGCATTCAGGCTTAGGAACACTTCCTTTCTCCTCCCCCATACTCAAAGCCAGCTCTGCTCCATTCTTTGGGGTGGGCAGGATGTTGAGATTTACAAGGCCTCTACTCTTTCAAGTACTGGGAGACCATGGTACTTTCTAATTTTTTTACAAAGCCTGAGCCTGAGGAAAATAGGTACAGTGATCATGAGGATGGAGAGCTTCATATTCTCCACATTTCAGGTGGTGTGTTACCCTGGGAATAACAGTAAAGGAATACGAAGTTTGCTGTGATTTGGTGCTTAGGATTGGTTACAATTTAAAACTTGGTTTGTGCTTAGTGCAGAGCCAAATTCTGAACTGATTTTGTCCTACTGCATACATGTTTACTCCTGCATGGATATGGACATAATGGAAGAATTCACCCTCATGGAATTGCAAAGAATTTGTTAACAGCTGGAAATCCTACTGGTTTAATTTAAGTAAGTTTAACAGGTTTACTGGAACTTGTGCCACACCCATGTTCATTCTCTGTTTAAGCTGCTTTTCACTAAGTGCTTACATAAGGGTTTGCAATAGTTTAAGTAAATTGGATATAAACCGTGCATTTACTTGAAGCAGTGTAATTTCCCTGTGTAAACAAGAGCAAAGTCAAAACCTACAGACAACCCTCTTCCTCTGGACGCAGCTGGAAGGTATTGCTGAGGCCAGTTACCACAGTCCTCTGTTGGCCACCTTCAACTGCTCGGCCATGGATGGGGGTTGTGTACGTACTCCCCAGTACATTTTGGGGTGTAGTGTAAAGGCGTATTAGCTCAAACCACTTGCTTAAACTGATGTGACAAATCCTGCCTGGAAGTGCTCACAGCAGCAGGTCTGCCAGGGTGGCAGATAGAGGCAGCTGGAGGGCAGCAGTCTCTCAGACTAGGGCAGCTGTTTGCAGAGTGAGCATCTGCCCATTGGCTAACTTGCACACAAGCTAGATTCCCTTCAAGCGGCTTATTCACGCTTTACCCCTTACTAAAGGCTTCAAAGTTGATTTGATTTATGAGTCAATGAGCATCAACTTCTATTCACTACTGTGCCAATACTCAAGTTGTCAGACGTCATGAGATTTGTCTACTGTAAATTGTTTCCATTTCCCAGTTAGTGCAGAATATTCAAGAGAGCAGGTTTCAGTTCAAAATCCAAAGGTACTCCACTTGCCATTTCTCTTCATGATTTCTTTACTGTCTGTAATTCTGAATCTAGAATGTTTTTCCACTGCTACTTTTCAGTTTCACTCTTTGCTTGGTTTCCCATTGTTGACCAAAAGCAGCCTGTTTTCTTTCCACTACCTTCAGTGGAAGTGGGGCAGGGCCCAGTTACCTCTATGATAACCAGGGAATATCTTTTTAACATTAAGAAGGAACATGTAGGAGCTCATATG